TTAGTTTCAAATCCCTCTTCAAAAATCTCTTCTTCCTCTATTGCCCTTTCACATCATGATTTAGATTTAGATGACCTGATACAAAGAAAATCTTATGCAATTTATCAATGTGTTGAACGTTTACAACCCAACTTGACACTATTAAAGAATCAATGTGAGCATAGTGAGCAAATGAGATTGAGAGAATTCCAAGTAAACTGCCAATTACACAAGTCATCCTATGATGATACAATGAATAAATTTACTGAGTTGAGAGAAGAAGTTATAGAAGTCAAAAAGATCCTTGATAAAGTCAACAAACAAGATTATTATCAACAACTCTATAGTGATTTTGTGAGTAAGTTATCAGAAATAAAAGAAGAACTAGTTGAGTCTGGAAAACAAAAAGAAAAAATTCAAATAGAGAGTCAATCTAAAGACAAGGGCAAAGGAAAGGAACAAACACCTTCTAGTAACAATAAAGAAAATAGTGCATCAACATCAAATACAAGTGACAACGCTAAACAAGGAGAAACAGAAATACAAACTGAGAATGTTACACCAATGTATAGTCTAAACAAAACTCAAGCTCTTGTATTACAGATTAGAGGTACATTGAACAAAATAATTGATGAACCAACACTTAAACCTTCTGAACAAAATATGGTGAAACAAATGACAAATTTAGCTAGTCAAATTGCTACACGTATATCAGAAAATGAAAAGAAATTGACATCCAAACTCAACAGTTATGATAAAAATTTCCACGAAACATTAAATAAATTGTCGCAGGAAAGAAATCAGGATAAAGCAAGTATCAGAGAGACAAGTGACACAATAGTAAGTGATTTAGCAGAAATAAGGAGTACATTAAGAAATTTAGAGGTAAAAGTAGACAAACAAATAAAATTACCAATTAAGGATCCGTATAATAAAATTGAAGAGCTACTTGACAAATTTGGAAAGCATGAGCACCATGTGAGCTCTACAATTGGCGAAATAAGAGAAGAAACAAACATAAACAAAATCCGTGAAAATCTAAATCAACAACAACAACAATTTGAAAGTGGAATGATGAGATCATACCATGCCCTGCAAGAAAAAATACAAGATAATCATCAACAATTACAAAAAGAATTATTGCTCCAACAAGAAAACCACTTTAAAACTTTTACAGAACAAATATTTAAAAACCAAGAGATCTCAAACAACAAGTTATTAGACAAGCATAACGAGATACAAAGAAAATTGTCAGAGATGGATGACAATGCAAAAACTGCAAGGGTGTCAATTATACAAGAACTTAAGCCTAGTACAAGTCACAATAATAGTATTCCAATAACAGTACACCACACAAATTCAAATGCCAACAATAGACCTTTTAATTTGAATCTTGAGGAAAATCCAAGAGTTGATCCGTCACTTAGAGGAGAAGCCAGATTTAGACAAAGCACAACAGATCCGCAAGAAAGGACTGTCAGCTACGTGGAACCCTTACCATGGAATAGAGATTCTCAGAGCCCAACAACTCGTGAAAGGACAATTGTAAGAGATGAGACACTTCCACCTCGTGAAAGAACAATGGTGGGAGACGAGACATTTCCACCTCGTGAAAGATCATTTATGAGAGAAGGTACTGCTCAAACAGGTGTAACAGAATTTGCTAGAGAAGATAACTTAACTAAAGCATTGACAAAACTTTGGCCAACAGGGAAAGATTGGAAAAAATTCAGTGGAGACGGAGAATATAATCATAATGATTACATTGATTGGTGTGATGATTTAATCATCACCTTGAAAATGGACCCTTTGGTTGTAGTCAGCCACTTAGCAACAGCATTCACAGGTACAGCAGGTCAATGGTACATGGACAAAAGAAAAACTAAAGGCTCAATGACATGGGATGAATGGAAAGAAGAAATTCATAAAAGATTTGGTAACAATGTTTGGAAAAATAACATGGAAGACTTATTTATAAGAGACAAATTTGATGCACCGCCAAGAAATTCACGTCGGAATGCCCTTTCCGATGTCACATCGGGGACGGTGTTCCGAAGCAGAGTCGGGGCCAAGGCGTCCGATAGAATCGATGTGCGATGTCTAATCAGATCCAGGTTGTTCGATGGGATCCTCAGTCCGACTGAGGAATGGTTTGCCAGATCCGATGAAACTAAGTTCCGATCCCAAACTGCATTGGTGACGAGCGACTGAACCTCAGCCTGATGAGGTCCGATAGCTACTCGTATAGCGCTCATCCGACTCAAACAAATGTGCGATAAAATCATCGCATCGCATCCCCTCTGAGCAACTGAACATCGGGCCTTTTGTCCCGATTCAATCATTCTTGCGAGTTCATGTCGGTGTTTAACTCGTGATTCAATCCCCTAAATGCCCGATTCAATCTCACTTGCGAGGCAACTTCGGTGCCATCTTCGCGACACAATCCAAACGCAGCCGATGCAATTTGCGTAGGACCTATTTGGTCTCGAATCCACCCCAAAAATTGCCGACAAATAATCCATAATCTTGATATTGCAATTCATTTTTTTGTTGTCTAGTTTTTTTTTCTGTCTTGCTTATTTCTTCGACTCAAAAAAACAGCAAGGGTTTTTCTGTACAAGCACCAAGTTTTGAGCTCTTCGAACATCGAATCTCAAGTTCGAATATGAGAGGTCTGGGCTTCGAGCCTCAAACTTTTACATGCTGAGTCTCATTGAGGTTCAAGTCACTGGCAATTGAGCCTAACGCAGTGACATCATTGTACACGACGCATAGTGCTATATGCACAGGTTTCTTTTCGAACGTGTTACAATACTACTGTGTATGCATTGAGTCACTTATATAGATCAACTTTGTTACTTCTTCCCATCCAAGACAACGAAAATTTTCGTCTTCAACGGGGGAAGATAGAATGATGCCCAACCAATAACTAGCACAACATACATCAGTAGAATAGAATGATACATGATCTTTATCTTATATAATCAATAGTAGCTTATTCTCTGTAGGGATGCGCTCGAAGCTCGAAGCTCGAAGCTCGAAGCTCGAAGCTCGAAGCTCGAAGCTCGAAGCTCGAAGCTCGAAGCTCGAAGCTCGAAGCTCGAAGCTCGAAGCTCGAAGCTCAAAGCGGAACTTGATGTTTTAAGTTCTTCTCAAAGCGGCACAAACCGGATCTTACGCTTAAACCTGGATATGGCTGCGTGAACAATACATATTATCGGTATCATTTTCTTCTCGGTGGTAATTCTTTGTCTGTACAGCATAGACTTAAGGTGGTACATCTTCCAGAAAAATCCCTATCCAGCCTCAGATAACCACATGATACAATGGAAAGGGCAACTCCCAGCGTCACCCAGAGATACACAAGGAATAACAGGCATAGATACATACAATCAATTGGAAAGTTTTCATATCTTGACATAAAAAAGGAATAAAAGAATAGGTACGAGTGTTTCAAAATTTCGTGAAGGATAGGTGAGACGGCGTCAAAACCTCGAAGAAAGCATAGGCATGACCACTTTGAACCTTCCACTACATAGTATTGATCTGCACAAGATATGCACAAGGAAAAAAAGAACCGTTTTGAACCTTTACGCATTTCTAAACCAATGAAGCCCAGGGAATTGTAAACATGAGGTATTTGGTTAGCTTTATGGACATTTTGTTTTTACAAGCTGGTCTGAATTACTGACATTGAATATCTTCTGATGCTCCCAAAGACCATGAAATGGGCCGTATTTACGTAGCACTTGTGTTCTGAATACACGGATCAACTTGGCTTTGAGAATATTGCGGGGTACGCGGTGACTCGGTATGAAGTGGTGGATAAGTTCTCGAAGGGCACCCTTTGTCACTGATCGGGCTTGAAGTTTAACGTTCGGTGAGAGGATTTTGATCAATTCCGTCGGTACGCTAAAGATTTTCTTCCAAAATAGAGGGTCTTTGTGAGGCGTGGATGCACGGACTGCTCGGCGATTTGGATGGATATGAGATGGTGCAGGCATTCTACATGCTCGGATAGGAGCTGAGCGTCTACGTATAGGTCTTGAAGGTGAAGTAAGATTCCCTGTGATCGATATGTTTCCAGAAATGATCATGGCTAATAAGATGAAGATACGATAGTTAGATTGAGGATGAATGTGGCTATTTAGAGATATTCTTCAAAGCGATGACTAGGAGTGAATATGGATGAGTTACCTGTTAAAGATAACCGGTATATATTTGAGGTGAGTAAATAATTTGGATAATTTGTTTTGATAAGTGAGATCGACTATTGTGAATGAATGAGTGCCAGCTCCTAAGTTGAGATCATAGCAGTTTATAACCCGTCGTTGTATCACCCATCTGTTTTTTGAATCTCTTTGTTTTGCAAAGTTAGCAAAAGAAGACTGACCATGAGCCCTTTGTCCCATAAGATATTCGTAAGATGCTCTCTGCTTAACGCCGCATGCTAGTATCGCCATTGATAACGTACCGAGCGGGACCAAAACATGCGTAGTATGCCATTCATTCAAGCTACGTGCTCCGGATGGCCTGCTAACACCTCAGAGTAAGCCCCATTGACAACTACACCCCGCTCAGCACTCAGTCACAGAACACAGGAGTCCCAATAAGTATGGATGGAAGCTCATTACGTTCGTGTTCAGGTCAGCTTCCTTTGAATACTCAACAATCACTTCCTAGAAGCCTCGCGTCCTGGGTTTTGAATCAAACGCTTCTGACTGAGGAAGTGATCAGATCGACATTACGATCTCCATACTCGTAAAACAGATATCTATATAACCCTGACCTCTAAGACACTTCCATTTCCACTCCATACGATCTTCGTATTCGTAAAACAGACCCTGACCTTTAGGACACTTTCATTTCCAACCCATCTCTTCACGACTATCTTGGTAAAATATATTCACTTGCATCTGGTATTTCACTTTGTTCCTTTTTCTACGTACCCTCACTTCTGAAGCATAGGCCTTTCTTCTTGGTTTAGACCTTTCTTCTTGGTTTAGAGGAAGCTACACGGTATGCCAAGGCTTGTTCACGGAATCAGAAAGTTTGGTGACAAGTTGTTTCAGAGACTTCGTCGACTTGATTGTAAGTTCATCTACACCTCAAATAGATATGTCTCGATCACTCACGTTTGGGTTTACTCCTCTAGTTATCAAAGATTCCAGTAGAACATCAAGACCAGGTGTTCCAATGGCAAGCGACTTGCCAATCTCAATGGACAATCACAACGATCATGATGGCATCCCTGAAGCAAATTCTGGAAGTAACGAAGAAATCGGAACCCATATCGAGAGTAAGTCAAATGATTCTTCTCTATCACCACTCTCTGAAGGCATGGCTCACACTTATACTTATTCATTGAATTTATACTAACAAACAACTAGATACTCCAGATTTGATCATTACAAAGGGAGCTGGGATTCAAAGGGATTCGTATAGATTCAGCACGGTATTGGAGCTCAAAGATCTACATAGGCTTGTGGGACACATGTTGAATGGTCAGTCATTCATTACTATTGATGATATTGAATGTGATGATTGCTGACTGGAAAATACCTGGCAAAGTGCCTGGAGTCCGTAAAGGTATACCAATGGGGATTAAACGCTTGTGTGTGCGTAATGTGAAGCGACACCGTACGCCAAGACTTGTTCATAGGATCCGAAAAATTGGCAACAAATTGTTCAAGAGACTTCGTCGACCTGATTGTGGGTCCATCTATACCTCAAATAGTTATGTCTTGATCACTCATGCTTTTGGGTTTACTTCTGTAGTTATCAAAGATTCAAGAAGAACATCAGGACCAGGTGTTCCAATGGCAAGCGACTTGCCAATCTTGATGGACAATCAGCCTTTCGTCAACGATCATGATGGCACTCTTCAAGCAAATTCTGAAAGTGACGAAGAACACTTGTTTATGGAGCATAACTTACTTGACAATCATACGTCGACTTCTAGCAATTGTAGCACTTCAAACACAGTTCCCGCTTCACTATCCACTGGGACCCATATCGAGAGAGAGTCAAATGATTCTCCTTTATCACCACTCAGACCACGCAAGCGCTCTCGTGACAGGATGGATGACTCTGAAGGTAAGGCTCACACTTATTCATCGAATTTCTGCTAACAAAAAACTATCAATACTCCAGATTTGACCATTACCAAGCGAGCAAGGATTCACACCGATTCATATAGATTCAAGACGGTCTTGGAGCTCAAAGATCTACATAGGCATGTGAGAGACATGCTGTATGGTTAGTCATTCACTCCTATGACAAATGATATTGAATATGAAAATTGCTGACTGGAAAACACCAGGCAAAGTGCCTGGAATCGATGAAGATATATCAGTGGGGCTCAAACGTTTCCATGTGTGTAATGCGATGCAGAGAACGTTTGAACACATCAATAATATCTTTAGAGAGCTGTTGAAAGACGATGATGTTATCATGGATGATGTACATGATGTTTCATCATAAGTATGAGGTATATATCAATTTGAGGCTTTTTCCACTTTCAATCTTATGTTCCCTGCCTGTGGGTTCAAACGCCTCTTTTGTATATATGAGTAATTATTTCAGAATTGGATATCATGGAAAATTTTATATCGAAGCTCCTGGTTGTAAAATCAAGGCTGAAGTTTGGACAATGAGCTTTCAAAAGTTCACATATTCATCATGCCACGCTGCCATAGGGCTGAACTTGATTTCCCAGTCCGATAATTCAAAGATGGAAGAATTCCAATCAGTGAAGCTCTTCGAATATAGCTAGAACAACGGTGACAAAGACGCTTCCATCTGTGTTTGCAGATGATCGTGGAATGGGGATGAACTACTGTCCATCTTCCTCTTCTTGCTGCATCGACACTAGCAAACGAAATTGGGATTTTGAGGACTTTGGGGTCTACAACCACCGCACCTCCATCAACTTGACTGACTATTGAATGTGTTGACTGCTGTGGATCGTAGAACATCAAGACAGGTGCTATATCTCAGATTGAATGGGTAAACTTTTGGCTAGAGATAACCAAAAGTTTACAAATCAGTCATATTGAGTATAAAAGGGATCGCCGTTTTTTAAGCTCAACGTCTTACGAGCTGTCATGCACGTCAAAGTTGGTCTTTGACTGATTGTGATGTGTACACTTCACTCTTGCTTACCACCCATCACTTACATACATCTGGTCAGCCTTCTGACTACAGTGTTTGAAGCAATATTGATTTGTCGAAGTGATGAGGTTTTGTTTACAGATTGATACTTTTTCGTGGTCTCCATGACTGGCCCGATTGCCACTTCCAATGTTGCGAAAGCTTGTCATCGTCATGTATTGCATGGTTGGGACCTCTTTAATTATTTGTTAAGAACAACGTACACTTCAAATTCGAATCATATACGACAATTCGAAGGCTTGCCATTTGTAGTTCCATGGTCATCCTTTTGATCTTGAACCAATCACGCGTTTGTTAACTCTGACGTGTAGCTTGACGTAGACATCAAATTACCTTGTAGAACGCTGAGCGTGATTACGTACTGAGTGATTTGAAAGCTTACTATTGCATATTTTGCATTACTCAGGGAGGATGCGCAAAGTCGACTTTGGAAAATCGTAGAATACATACCTGAGTTTAAGATTTAAATATCAGCAAGATTCGAACCGCTTGGGTGTTAAAGCTTACTTTCGACACCTTTGCCTGACGAATAAACCAGCCGAGTCCCGGACTTTGTTCCCCTCATCAATCGCTCAATCCAAACTTCATAATCCCCTCTCCCTATCTTCCTTTCAAAATTCCACATACACATCAAACAGTCCTCACATCCTTCGCCTTTCTAAATTCCTTGTTCGAACTTCGAACTCCTAACTTTATCACCCTTTTTTCGTTTCTAAATCCCTAGTCCAATCATCTGTCTCAGTTCATCATTTCAGATGGAACACTCAAAAGGCCTTACTCCAGACGAGGAATCCCGCCTCCCGGGTACTCTCATAGAAAAATCTGGATCCCCTCGACCGGTTCGTTCAAACAGTCTTCACATTTCTTTCCTTTCCAAATTCCTCGTTCGAACTTCGAATTTCGGAATTCATCACACTTTTTATGTTTCTAAACCCCTTGTCCGACCATTTCTCTCACTTTTCACTTAGAAACATTCGCAAGTCCGTACTCCCGATGAGGAATCTCTCATACCGGGTACTATTATAGAAATCAAATTTAAATTCCCTCGATCGATTCGTTGCGAGACCGAGCCGGACGAGGCTTTAATCGGGAAACACAAGTACTCGAAGGTGTACGAGTTTGCCAATCCTTGTTCAAGATGCGCCAATACTGGTCGTACCTGTGTAACTAGTGGCACGAAATCCGTCAAGTGCGAGTGGTGCAGGGTTTCGAAGATACCTTGTGACGTCAATGGAGTGGAAACTGTCCAATTCCACTGGCTGCGAAATGGAGCCCTCTTTCCTGATTCGAGATTCGACACCAAGACCAAAGCATCGAGCACTGATCTCCCTGACGAAATCTCCCTGTTGGATCCAGAAGACGAAGCTAGGGTTGATGATTGGTCATCAAGGACAAAAGGTAGGTGATGCTTGCTCCATTGCGTCTGCTTGGAGATGCGTGTTCGAACTGACAAGTGTTTCTTCATAGATGTCAATCCTCTCGATCCCAGTCCACTGCAAAATTTCGGTGTGGAGATACCTTTGGCTAGGAAATCGGGGTCAAGAATCATACAGGATGATATAAGGGCCGACCGATATCTTCAACGTGTAATGGGATGGCGACGAAGCTCTGAGGCACCACCCTTCCGCCCCTTGGGCTTCAATACGATGCCTGTTGAGGAGAGACCCAGTCGATTGAACAAGAGAACTACCCCGGATCCCGCTAGATCTGAAGAAGAAGAGGATCGACCCAAACGAAAAATCAGAGTCAAGATTCGAAAGCCCCCAGGTTTGGAGGTCGACCACTCTTCCTCCCCTACTGCTCATTCGATGCCTCGAACTTCCCATCCACAGCCCTCTCAACTCTCCTCCTTGGCTCCTGCTCGATCCCTACCCCCACCTTCCATCGGACGTGCTATTTCACCAGTCGCTGCGCCCCCTCTTTCGAACCTGGCAGCTCCTCGCTCTTCACATGCTACTCCTAAACCCCCGAACCTACCATCGAATAAGCCTCCGCACTCCCGTCAAAGCCCTGCGATTCTTGAAAGTTTTCCACCCCCGGTTTTGGAAGACACTTCGAAAGTTCCTTTATTTCGACTTTCTTCACCATTGGAAAGCGAGGAACGAACCAACGAACAAGTCCAATATCCAGATGACGAAGACAGAGCCACTGGAAAACATGGACAAGTGGTAGATGATCATACGAGATTGAACAAGGCAGTAGGAGCTGCTGGAACTGAATTAGAGCACCAGTTTTCTCTTGCACAACATGGTGGAAACCAGCGGTCCGAAAACACTCAGAAAGATCGGGGCGATGATATTGATTCAGATGATAGCTCTGTAGACTGGGGTGTAGTCGAGCCCAACAATTTTGATGGTAACGTGGTGGCGGAGCAGATGAAGAAGGCAGCAAAAGATATGGAGAGATTCATGGCAAGCAAAATGTTGGAAATTGCTGCTTTGATCCCAGCCGGTCATAACTTTAATAATTTCATTGCTATGCGTAAAGCGATACAAGATAAGTGGAAAGGATATAAGGAAAAAGTGAATGAGGCTGTCAAGCCTTTACAAAAATTATAAACTAATGTTGTTATTTCTGTTTACTTGCTTTGATAAAAAAATGGTGGCCCGTATATTTCTATCTTTGTTCCTTTCGAAGTCTCAAAATCAAGTTCCTGAATGTAAAGTGTCCCAATTTTAATGATGGACGTAAGATATAAAAATTTGATAATTTCAACGTGTCTGTACAGTCTGCCCTTCTTTGAGAATTCAAACTTTGAACGCCAACATCGATTTCCAGTTCCAGTTCCAGTTCGACTTCAACGAGCTTTGAGCTTCAAGCTTCAAGTTCAGATGTTTCGACATTCGAAAGTTCGATTTACAAGATCAGTTCGATTTTTTGCTTGTCGGAAGATTGAAACTCAAGTCATTTGGAGAGGATCGAAAATAGCTTTTGAGACTCACACCTCCATCACCGCACCGGGAAAGGAATCTGAATGATACCCTGCGTTTGACCGTAGTTGTACAGCGCTAAATCCAATCTTTTCAAGGATGGGCGTTCGAAGTGACTATGTACCATAAAGCATGAAGGCTCATTTAGAGCCCAAATTAAGTATGCCTATCTCCTCGACTCACAGTCTTCACAATTCCCTCTGATATCCATATCTGAATGACAATGATGAGAAAATCTTGAGATACTTACATAAATGTATAATTATATAATGACTTTCTCAGCATGTAAAATTGATAGCATACATGTATTACCCAATTGAGAGGATGTGTTTAGTGGACCAAGAGAAAAGCTGAGCAAATCAGTTTAGAAAACTATAGGATTAACTTGAGTAGCACTATATCTGAGTTGATCAACTCGTGAATGAACACTGGGAGTGGGAACTTGTGACTAAGATAGGCAGAAATAGACCAAGTGAAACTCGTCTGGTACGAGTGGACCTTTTAATTATCATACAAAAATATACGTGTTCTAGAAGTCTCAGCCGACATCAACATTCAGAAAGGAGTACGAGAGAAATAAAACATAAATGTGAAAATCAATCAAGTTTGTACAAGGAAGACTTATATCTTATATATCCTTTCCAGCAATTGGCTTCCCGTGTATCCTCACCCGATAAATGCACGTATATCCAGAGTGTCCATAGTTTGAGGTGATTTTGAAAAGTACTTTACTGTACACCAAAGGATGTGTTCTTGGTATTTCGAAATTCTGTAAGGGTGAGCTGGGGCTAGAGATACTGTATACTCCTTTGAACAAAAGAGTCCCGTTCGCTGATTGATTGTGATTGTCATCGAGGCCCCAAAGTTCGAATTCTCTAGGTGCCGCGGTGATGTCATTTTGCGCTAATTGCGCTCCAATGTGTTCAATTGACAAGGAGGTGATGTCAATGGTTCGACTGAGGCCTATCCCTAGCTGTCCAACTGGTCCTTCCAAAGGCCAACAGTTTCCGGCTGAACCATCACCTTTCAGTGCAATTTCTGGTAAACTCGCCTGTAAGTTGGATCCACGTAATGCTCTCCACCAAGAGAGACGCCGTCTCCAAGTTGTAGAGGGAACAAAGGAGGGTGAAGTCAAGGATTGAATCACATATCCTCCAGTTTTTAGAAAAGCGAAGTCTCTTTGGCCATCTCGATCCTTGATGCATTGCTTGAAAGCTTCGCGTGCCATGTAGCTCGTTTCCATTTCCAGATCGCCCGACGAAGAGCAATCCTCTGTAATTCTACCCAGCTGATTGTTGTCCCCGGTTCGTAATTTATTTTCCTGTGTGATGGTATGTATTCCTTCACTATCAACGTTCATGCTGATTTCAATGTCATCTATTTCTGTGTACACACGAACATGACCTGTTGCTACTGGCACCGCTCCTCGCACGTCGGGGTTAGGGGTTCGAAGTTCCACCATGGAAGCTGTGTCGCCACTCGAAGTTTGGGAGTTCAGGTGTACTCGCATGTACTGGAGGTCACCTTCGGCTTTTTTCAAACGTCGATCAAGAAGGTGAATCCGACCGCATGTAGCTATATGAGAGGTTGAATCAGCCTTCAAGACATAGACCGAGTTTAAACATGCACGAACTCATCGCAAGGAATATCAATAACCAAATATGCATTGCAGGGGCATGTCGTGAAAGTTCAGTGATAGCTTTCCTAGCTCGTAGTCCAGCGCTACGACCGAAGCTGAGTGGTACCCCCTCGCTTGACTGGCATACCTCAAGACTTGGCATTATGGGTTGGGTAATGTCTTGTATCGAATTTAATTATGGGCTTTGGATAAGGTCAAAGGCTTATAGCTTGCGAAGATTAACCACTGCTTCAATGAGGAGAGAAAATAGATATCAGAATGAATCGAGTGCAAGCCGCGAGTTGAGAGTAATTCATGTAACCATTGAGTTCATAGATATATATACTGACAACTGACATCACAGATGCACTATGTTCATGAGTTCCATGCGCCGGACTGAGCCCGGATGGCTGAGATGAAACGTCTTGGACTAAACGCAAAAACGTGGAATACGCAAGCAAACATAGGCGCCTTTGTGTGCACGTATCCCAGCCGAAAGTACTATTACATACATAGCGCAACTTGGGAGATGAGATTGATTCTCTGAGGAATCTTTTTCCGAAGTTCCTGCGGACCCAAGTACCTGAGCTAAGCTGCGTAGTGGAGTGTTGGACTCCAGAATTCAAGGATGAACATTCACATATCTGAACGGCGTCTGGCTCGTTGTTGAGCAGATGGACTCGATCATAGCTCAAGAAAGGAGGCCTGGGTTAAACTCAATTAAACTTACATAGAGCAAGGAAGTTCAAACTCAAATCTGAACCGAGTCTGAATTGTTGAGTCTGACTTGTTGTTGAGCTGATGGACTCGATACCTCCATAAAGGTGGTGTGGGCTGAACTCAATCAAGCGCACTTAGAGCAACGAAGTTCGAACTATCCCCATCCGTCGTAAGATTAGCCAGCCATCAACCTCGCAGACACTGACACTTGGACTGTTTTGGTTGTTAACAATTTGTACCGCACCCAATTACTTTCGAAATGAGTGTTTCTTCCGGTGGCGGGACATCCTACAATCATGTACTACGAATTGAATCAAGTGAGGCACCAGCTTCATCCCGCCACAAGAGATCATATGGGGGCGTACTAGAAGCCGAATCAAGTGACGCGTCAGCGCAGGATTTTCACTCAATCAAATGCCGCAAAGTGGGGAGTATGGTGGGTTCATCATATACTTGAAATCTGGACTTCCTTGAGATGACTAAGTCTCCTATCTCTTCAACACTTCTACTAACAAGTCTCATCGAACACCGCCTGATTCAAGGTTGGATGATCAACAATTCATCAATCACCTCATGAATAACGCTGCATTTGCCGACTCAACAGGAAGATACACAGACGCTGTAGCAATATATCTGCAACTCCTGGATTTGTATACCGCCAACATGTTAAAATGTGAAAGAAAAAACGGTGTGACCAACAGAGGTCCCCATTCAGGGTGGATTCTGTCTTGTTTCAATCTAACACGGTGTTACTTGAAGCTAAATCATCCGCAAGCGGCCTCCGATATCCTTCAACAAGCCTGGAACCCAGATTCAAGTCTAGCCATACCTGCGACACATCCAAAGTATCTGGAACTATCCCATTTGTACTTCGAGATTGAGGATAGGTTACAAAATTCTTCTAATACTAAGAAATACGTGCGTCAATACCTGCTATGAACAACTCTCACTCACTGAAACAGATGACTGAAAAAAATAATGCTCTTCACCTTCACCAGGAGTTTACACCAGAAAGTTGTCAAGACGAATTCACCATCAATGATATTTTGGATCTGGTATATATGTATGGTCAAGATTTTCTGTCTCGAGAGCAATCACAAGATGCCATCTTGCTTTTGGAGGGGGAGATAAGTCGCATCACAGCAGAAAACAAACTATATGAATCAAAATTGAAAGAAAGGATCGTCAAAATCCACCTACTTCTTGCCGAGGTGTATTTGCATGTTGGCCAACCACTCCAGGGAGAAGAGATTTTGAAGCGAGTATGGGATGCTGAAAGCCGTTTCTATATCAATCATCTTGATAAAAATTATCTTTGGATGGCACAGCTTTATAGGCAAACCAGTAACAAAGAGCAGTGCGACACCACGTCTTGCAGACATCGAGCCCAAAAAGGAAGGGAACCCACACTATACAAAGTGAGTTTGGCCAGCGCGAATATCCTTATATGCCAAAAGAGAGCTAATTAAAATCTCGACTCCCTTAACCAGCGGCTTGCTCTGACCCCAATGGCTATTCCGGCCAAGATCAAGAGTCATTGGAAGTCTTGCATGTTGTATTTTCATCCAGATAAGGGTGGACACACTGGCGTAGCACAACAGGTAAGCTAGAATACAACCTATGTGCATCATATCTTGAATCTCATAATATTCCTTTGTTTCAGATTACGGCGGCTGCTACAGTGTTACTTGATCCAGAGAGTCGTCGCCGATACGATTTAAAGATTAATGCTTGACGAGTCTTCCAATGAGAACAGATGAGGACTGTACCCAGAGTTTCATATGCTTGTGTCGCTGGACTTCTTATTGATTGTGTGTGTTGGTCTATGTGCGTAGAGAGTTGATTGATTGTGGGTTGGTCTATGCGCGTAGAGAGTTGAATGATGTGGGGCACGGGCTAGCGTTTTTCATCTGCTACGTGATAATGTATGATAGGCCAGTCCGGTGTTGATTGTTTTGCTGGATAAAATTTTGAAGGGATCCACTTCTATCTTACTTTTGTATGAATATGAAGAAAACATGGGAGTGGGATGTTCGAGTCTATCGATTTTGATTTTCTAACTGAATCATTGACATCGACGCTGGCACACCTATACTGCCCATAGCATGCACCGTAGCACAGCGGCTCCATGCTACGTGATAGGAGTGGGATATCTGACACTTTTCATCTCAACATGTGGCTACTGCCTTAGCTTAGAATCCGTAGAAGAATAGGGCCCTTTATAACATGGCTTATTGAAAAACATTTGAAAATGAAGAATGAAAAACCTCATACACTACACAAAATGTCATCTTTACCGGGCGGTAAAGAAAACTACTGACATAGAAAAGTCCTGAGGCAACAGGAAGAGAGCTAAAAATCTGAAACAATATGCACCTTGTTCCTAGATGTTGGGGCGTCATGACAAGTATTTTTTTGTATTTTACACACAGATATTGGTTAATGTACTAACAATAAAGGCTGAGAATCATCAAAAACCCACCTGTAACAATACCTGAAATTTGGCCCTTGACTTTGAAGACAGGATTTTTGAATCTTCAAACATCAATAACTTTTGCAGTTCTGAATCAAATCACTCGATTTACAGTGCATTAAGAAGGTGAGCCTTCCCTCTACATTTTTCATTGTGACATCACATATGTAGCTGGTCTAAAAAAGATCCTACAGAGCTATTCATGCAGAACTGTTTGAACATATGTAGAGTGTTTAAATGACTAGATAGCACCTTACTAACATTATGAAGTGTGAAGGAAAATAGTTCAGCTTTTGAATGAACCAAAAATTGAGTTATTTGGAGCAGAATTGCAAAAGTTATTGAAGTTTTTAGACCACAAAATATTGTCTTCATACTCATGACCCATAGTTCAGGTATTGTTACATGTGAGTTTTTGATGATTTTCAGCGTTTATTGTTAGTACATAAACCAATATCTGCCTGTAAAATACAAAAAAATACTCATCATGACGCCCCAACATCTAGGAACAAGGTGCATATTTTTTCAGATTTTTAGCTCTCTTCCTGTTGCCTCAGGACTTTTCTATGTCAGTAGTTTTCTTTACCGCCCGGTAAAGATTACATTTGGTGTAGTGATATATACAAAGAGATGTCAATTTAGACAACAGGTATAAGAGGAAGTTAAATGAGCTGTGAACTGGAATTCGGTGTATTCCGAGAGTGATAAGTTATGGATTTTCTGAACTAAGTAGTAAATCGGTGAACACCTTCAAGGGTTGGGGTAGGCAAAATCAGGCGAGTTGTTTTAGACTTGATAGCAGCTGCCTCGGAAAGCTGGTTGAAGCGAGCAATGACCTGGCTCATTGCGCGAAACTCGTCTTCGATTGCTAGCTCACGACACGCCACGTGATTGCCAATAATTTCAGCCTGAAAATTGAATATCATCAGCAATTTATCTAGCCTTTAGTCAATCTATAGATACACTTACTCGAAAATGTTTCGCATTGCCCTCAAAGGTCACAAGAGTTGCACGGAGGTCTTCGAGCTTCGTCGCAATAGACCTTAATGTCGATGCGCTTGCTGAAGTCATTGCGATATTCCTATTGAGCGATTGACTACCCCAGCTTCCGAAGTTCATTAAACGTTTCCAAATTGGGATGCCAGCCTTGAACTTTCGTAGCTGCATGTTTTCCTCTGCAAATTGAGCACCGACACTCGCAGCGAAATCCGAGCCTCTCCTGGCCAGGGGAATGGCATCATCTATCTGCGCTTGCAGGCCAGAAAAACCTTCCGATATGGTTTGGACCAGATCACCAAATCGGTCATATGCTGATGTAGTCAAGTATTTATCTTCCCCATCGGCGATGGAAGTCAGTACGAGTCGGATCACTTCGAGCTTGGGTTTCACAATTTGAATGTCAGTTCAGGGCTGGACCGCCGTTAAATCGTGATCAATTGTTCAAGAAGAACCGATGCTCTCACCTTCTGAAAAACCTTTCGCAAAAATGAGATACTCGCACTGTTCAACAGATTCACCTTGTCCCTCACATCTCTGGTCGTCTCACCAAGGTTTTGAATACATTCGGCAAGGTGGTCTTTCTTCTCTAGTATGTCTGATGCAGCGATGGCCTGAGAAAGCTCTAGTATTTCATCTTGGTAAAGGCAAACATGATTAGGATTTCCAAGGTCAAGAATCGACTCGAAGATATCACCAGCGGACCGTGCAGTCGACGTGACAGTGTTTGATAGTGAAGCCACCTTTCTCGAGTGACTATGGCCTTTGGGTCCACAGAAATAAGGCCCACCAATATAGGTACAGTACCAGTACGAGGCTGTCGGAACGCGAATACTGAAACTCCCGATGAGGTACTGGTGAAGACTTTTGGGGATAGCTGGAATCGTTACCACTAACAAAGCCAATGCAACCCATCCAAGAAGGTGTCTTGACATGGCTAATGGATTCATTGACCTGAAGGCGTAGAGGGAAATTTGGAGTATACGAGTAATCTGTCAGTCACAAGCTCAATATCAGAACGAGTCTTGGCCTCACAAAACACGTACGCGAATAAGAGATTGTATGTTTCCAAAGGGTTCGAAGGCTTGATCTGAGCCACGAGTCGAAAAGTTGAGATGAAAAGGCTGAACTGACCAAGATTCTGAGTCTTCCTACCTCAGATAGTCGAGTATTACTCCGCGTATCCTTTGTCGATCAAAATTTTTCTACATTAAAGGGGGGTATACGTTGAAGCGAAGCATTAAAGATCAAAGGGGTCTATCATGAAAGTTTGAGAATTTTCGGGAACTCAGGTTTACGTTCGTACCTTGACGTAATCAAGTAGACACAATACGCGTCGAAGCAGTTTAAGTTGACGTCTAAACGAGTGGGTCTGAGTGAGAAGTAAATAGAATGTGAGTTTCGCGACCTCAACAAACCTACACAGCTGAGTTTCAGTTGAGGCTCAGTCATTTCTGGAGTTGCAGCTGGTTGATCCTCTTCGAGATGTGACATCCGCTCATCATGTTTGATTTGTGCAAACGGCTCATGACACAATAGCCACGAGTACGAGGCTCAGTGGCTATTGCTTGAAGACTGCGTATGATGGCGGACTTCCTTGAGCAAAGACATAGCCTGATGATGTAGCCTAACCCACCGTATTTATTAGAGGGCTCCCCCAGCTTCTGCAATTTCAAAGTGTATAGAACTCCTACATAGAAAGATCCATCTACTTCTTCACAAAAACCCTTTGCTTTATTGTAAATTGAACTGCCATGGCTATGATATCTAGTTATGATACATCTTCACCGAATATGAACCCCAACTGGCTGGCATCCAGCATGGAAATATCCCCCGATGGAAAAATGAACGATGCAAAACTGAATGATACCAAACTGAACACGCCCGAATCGAATTCTCTACCGGACCACAAGGCCGAGCGTAATCAGCGTCACAGTTTTCAGATACGGTATATAGCACTATCTTCTATGGTACTGATCCTGGCTTGGTATTTATTTCAGGGGTAAATTGTCCCATACTTATTTTTGTTATCATTGAATCTTGCTCACTCTCACAAATATGATATCTCGTGGTTTCCTAGAAGCTCATCAGCTATAAACGTTGACCAGCTAAAAGAGGCGACAAATCAAATAAAGTCAGGTCGTGCATTGGGAGAACTTCGCAAGATTCAACACACCCCGATCACATTCATCCAATCAATGAAGTCTCTCAGTGATGATGTTACATTGAAACACATCGACGTACTTTCTCTAAGAGAGTTATTGGGTGTCTTGAAGACTTCCATGGACTATTCAGAGTCTTCAGCTGCCGTGAAGCTACTGGTAAAAGTTTCCGATAATATAGATCTAGTATCCGATATGATGCGCCAACTCAATGGGAAAGGTCAAATGGAGCTTGATATCTTCATGCGAGAGGTGAGTAAGGTGACAAACCATTGATACAGCAGACTGCCAATCACTGAAATAACGCTATACAGTTCGTCTTATGGTTCAATCGAGAGGAAGCTGCTCGGGACATGCACACCGCAAAAAGGGTCCTTGACCGTCATCGCGATTTGTTAACGCTCCTTACAAGGTCAATTGCGACTATACTTGATACCATCCAGCTCACAAACAAAGCCAATGAGGACGCAAGATACCAACTTCACATGTTGGAAAGGAGAATGATAGAGAGCTCTAAATTCAGCCATATCACTAAGGTGTTTGGGTCAACCGGCAGTCGGCCCTCAAACGAACTTCTACAATCAATCACGGGAATTCTGAATCACACACATGAGATTTCAACGTTTTTGGATGACAAAAGGCCTGTTTTAAAGCTCTATCAAGACAACATCAATTCGTGGCTTGTGAGTACCCAGTGGTATCATTTTACACTTCCGACACTGATCATAAATCATTGGGGGTAATTACTATCCAGGGTTCGATAGTCGATCGCATGAAAAGCTCCAAAAACTCCCATGAAGTTGACATGCAGTGTCTGATACTGCTGGATGCCATACGCAGTCACGTCACGAGCATCTCACCAGGTTCATCATCTGAGCAGATCTCACTAGGTAGGGTCCTTACTGACCAGTGAGGCGTACATATGGTTCGATTTTGTGGCTGAAAACAAACTGAGAGTACTGTTGTTACCTCTGCTTGAGAATTCTCTTTTTGAGCACTAGATATATGTAGCATATGGCCTGGTTTAACTATCTTGTATCTTTGAGAGATTTTATTTGTCAGAAGGCATCCTTCATTAGATAGCACGAATATACAAGCTGCAGTATTTAACCTGAAATTTTGCCTCCATAGAGCTCCGTCCTCTTAGTTCAAAGTTCATTTGAAGTTCGAAAGTCAAGCTGAGTCGAATATTTGAAGTTCGAACTCACCATCTGAAGCGTGAAAGGTAAGCTGAGCGAGAAATGATTTGAAGTTCGAACTCGCCATGTGAAGTTCGAAAGTCAAGCTGAGTCTAATAGGATGAATCTGAGACTTTTAAAGCTCAAAGTGCTCGTGGCATGAGGCTCTCAGTCATCGTCACACGCCTCACACGCCAAGTCCTGATCCATTCAAATAAGGCAAATGAGAAAATGATAAGAAACGTGACAAAATGATATCAAAGAATATCTCAATAAGTAAGCTCATCCATCACACCCAATCCATCACAAAGGCAAGAACCATAAAAATCTGTTTTTCTGGGTACTCAAGCATTGTAAAGGAATAAGAACTACATGATATGCATTCATTAACGCCTACAGCAGAGAAGAGAAGATTTAGGAAACAATCGAGAGCTGTCAAGCACGTGTAAGACATGGGTGGCCGAATCTATGATGTGCCTACACAGATTTCATAGAAAGGACGGAGTCAGTTTGGTTGAAATGAATATCACGGTCAGATTGGCTTGATATGTAGTCGCAAGACTTACTTTGATCAATTCGAGTCATGTCAAGTATCTCGAGGGATGATTGAATGATGGCCTTTTTCGGTATCTTGCGCTTCAGAATTAGGGGTGGTTGAATGATGGTCTTTTTCGGTGTCTTGCGTTTCAGAATTGCTTGAAGAATCGCTGAGTTGATTTTGGGCGAGCAAGTCCCTAAAAGATGGTAGTCAGAATCAGCATATGTATGGAATTTTATTATCAATGTATAACTTACTTATGATGTTCGGCCAAAGCTGAAATCAATCCGAGATCTTGTAAGCTCGTATTAAATAAGATCCGACGATTTCGCAAGGTAGTGAGATCGATCTGGAGGCAATCATAGAACACTTTGTCTTGGTTTGAGTAGGAGGGCACGCCAAATGTACCGTCGCGCAATTGAAGGTGGAGCCTCTCGACCTTCTTATGAATTTCGGTAAGATAGCTAAGATGATCGTCAAGGCTCTCTTGAGCTTCTTCTTGAGCAGAGTGGACTGAATCGAGCTCATGTTGAGTTAAGAACTTGTAAGTTTTGATAAATTTGTCTAAACCTTTGACTGCCTGACGATATTGGCCGTTCTTGAGGTGAGGAAGACAATAAATATCGAACAGACGTTTCCTCTCGTGGTCGAGGTCGAGGTCAGCTGCCGAGTCCACGCATCTGGGATCTTGGCGAGGCCCAAACTTTTCTCTGATGAGTGGAGCTTCGATGTACTTGGTGTCGGTTTGAGAAGGGAGTTGTAGGTTTCTAAGGCGTGGGGCGACCATTTCGACAAAGATCATACGTAGAAGCTCGTGATCTTCTTGAGCGTTTTGAGTGAATTTGAAATGAGGGAAAAATGCGAGGATGACTTCTAAGAGTTTTTTAGGCGTAGCTTTACTTAAGAAGCTTTCGGGATCAATCCTGGGAGTATTACTATGCCCATCAATAACACTTTCAAGGATATACTCGGGTAAGAAGATACTGGAGTGGACGTAGGATCCGTAAGACATGATGAAGATGGCAAGATATTTCTAGCAAGAAGGAAAAATACGGCGAATGGCTTGTCTTTATACCCATCTGAAGGTCATTCGACCCAAGTTTTTGAAACTTTGGACATCATTTGATCATTTGGTGGGTTGATCATCCTAACCATTCTTTTATCTTCATCTGTCTACTTCGAATTTACTATCCATATATCTGGCGGAGATCTACACTAAAGGGTCTTATAGGTGACTACATAAGAAGGATTGTGCGTTGAACACGTTATAGAGAAAGAGACATAGATTACTTGCCGTCCCTCCCGCTGTACCTCCTCCTACCCACTCGCGTATTGAAGAGTGAAATCAAAGGACTCTTGGAAATACATAAGATAAGTTCGCAAAACTTCACATTAGATATAAGAAACTTCAGAAGCATGAATATGAGATATATCCAGGTAATTGCGGAATAATTAAGAGATCTACAAGTTCTTTCCAATTGAGTCTGATGGCATTACAAGGTGAGACAAGTTAGGTACAGACGAAAAGGTTAGCTTTATCAAATCCCAAAGCGTTGAGAGACCTTTTGACACACCTTTCTAATTTAAAGATCAATGGCGGAGTAGGTCAATGTGCCATCCTGAGAATTGAATGATATGATGTTGCGAAGATAGGGCAAGACCATCAAGTTGAAAGGGCCAACCATATTATTTGCGTCGTTTTGCCAAAAATCGCTCAGTTGTGGGTGGAAGAGCTTGAATATTTGGAGGATTTCCTGATCGCTAGGGCCAGCGAAGACCTTTCGGATTCGCGAATGCTAGGAATCTATGCAGGTTGACCGGAAGTGTAACAACTTGAGTTGGGATAACTTTTGGTTGAATTTGACGAATAACTTCGACTTGGAGATAACGTATATAGCCACTATGTTCGTCCAATTCCTCAAGAGGACGAAAAAATGGGAGCACGATGATTTCAAAGAGGCTGATAAGAGTTTCTCGATCGAAGGACTGAGGAAGTTGAAGATCCGGAAAGAAGAGACTGATGATCCTGAGATATTCTTCGGAGCTGGCTTCAACTATCAAGTCTGGGTCATCATGTATACAGATAAACTTGATGAGGTCTTGAGGGATTACTAGACTTCCAGTAGGATAAGGCTTCTCGTGTTCAGGATGCGCATTCGTCGAAATGTACGAGTATACGCAAGTATCCTCATCAAAACCTTTTGGATGGCGTAAGAATGGAAGGACAGTGACTTGAAAAATTCTAATAATGATATCTTTTGCAAAGCTCAGTGGGAGAGCAAGCTTTGGATGAAAAACTTCAATAATATGATGATATTCTCTAGTAGATGCTTCTGAAAGGGGATGCGCAATGTTATACGCAAGGAAACCATGGTGCCGTTTTGGCAAGACAACAGATTTAACGGGGTATACGTATTGTGGAGTATGTTCGGCCATGATGAGCAAGTTCAGGATGATGTTCACAAAATGAGAAGGCTCTTTTGACCTCTATATTAGATTTTTTTTTGAAAGATATATTCTGACAACAGTAAACTCGTTGGGAAACTGTGAAGACCATATTGTATTCCCGGGTCCCGCAACTCTAGCCCTCCCTTCTTCGTGAATCACAGATCTGGACGATCGCGCGACTGACTTCCAACCAGATTCCCATCAGAAGGCCAAATTTTTTGACTCAGGTTTGAATTATCTACATAATGTAGACCGAGAAAACCTTTGAGGAACACAGGACAATATCGGGTGATTTTTCACTTTAGATATGTTTGTGTATATACATAGAAAACGGTTGTATTTTGACTAGCTAGGAGGCACTTTCACGAACAGAAGTGCCTCCGAGCTATCATTCCACCATTCTAATTTCTTGAAAAATCATAAGCTTTGAAGTTCGAACTCATCATTTGAACTTCAAAAGGTAAAGTTGAATATGATTGGCTTTGAAGTTCGAACTCACCATCTGAAAAACAAGCTGGGTCGAGTAGGATGAACTTGAGACTTATCTTCGAGAATCATAGCTAGCCTTTTGAGGATCCTTGGAGAAGGACATAAATGGAGAAAACTTTTCCTACTTGGCAACTCGCACGAGTAATATGAAGCTCCCTCCAACTCCACTTCAGCTTCACTGTCGACAGTTGCACTACGAATTGCGAGTTCCCACTTCGAAGCTCAACACGTGTCTGGGCTGTAAGCAGGGACACATGTATGTACATACATTACACAAGCTCACTGAGTGCGTAACGCTCAACGCGGTCGTGATGTGACGCTTCAACTTCAACACTTTTTCTCTTGATGGAAGATGCCTTACACACTGAGTGCGTAGAGCTCAACGGAGTCGTGACGCGACGCTTGAACTTCTAAAAGCAGTGACACATGTATGTACATTACACAAGCTCACTGAGTGCGTAAAGCTCAACGCGGTCGTGACGTGACGCTTCAACTTCTAAAACATCGTAACACGCCTCACAGCGCCTTTAAAGTCCTACAAATTCATCACTTACATTACAAGCTCACTCAGTGCGTAAAGCTCAACGCGGTCGTGACGTGACGCTTCACCTTCTAAAACATCGTAACACGCCTCACAGCGCCTTTGCACGCCAATACATACAAATTCATCACTGTATGTCAAATGATGGATACGCAAACACATACATACATATCATGTGCACAGATCTCACAGAGTACATAGTTGAATCATATGTGGTTGGATGTGGGATGGGTTTGATGTGACGGACACGGGCGTATGTATGGCTGTGGCTGACACGTGGGCTCAAAATCACGTACATCATTCCTGATGCTTCTTTATCGCCAATTTTTTTTGGATAACTTACACTTCGTAACTCAATCCCTTGATCACGATTTCAATATTGTTTCTCTTTTTTTCAAGAAAGATTCTTCGCTACCTTGATACGTTCATCTGGATCTCTGTACTCTTGGTGTTGTCTCATCCTAAAACCTCCCTTGTCTGCTTCGGACCCTAAGATCATTGCGACGCAGAACTCAGAAGCTAGAAGGGAGGATTTTAACTTTGTGCATTATCATCAGTCTTATCAGTTAATCGTTTGCAAAGGTTGTGGCCATGCCCAAGCATAAGCACAAATCTCCTGCCACTCTCAAATCCCGCCTTCTCCGTTCAATCAAGAGGCATCTTGAAAGGCCTAAGCCTGCCTTACCAAATGCTCGTGTTGCGAAGAAAGCAGAACTCACGAAACACTATGGACTACCCGAAGACTCGAAATTCCTCTTCTTGAAAAAAGGACGTCATTTTGGGAAGCCTCGTCTGAGTCTATCTTACGGTACGGTGGTCTGTCTTGATGCGGATACCTTGGAGCTTTTACTGGTGGTACGATTCGTGGAGCCAACCGAAATGGAAGATTCTGTTTTCGAATCTTACAATCGTTCCATAAGCACAATCTATCAGCATGCCAAAGCTCGGAATGAAGTGAAAGGGAATGCTGCTACTTATCGAGGGAGGAGAAAAGGTCGAAAGTTTGGCCGAATGTACGCTGCAGGCTTCCGTCCAGGGTATGATCACGAGGTCAAAGGAGGTTCGTGAAATTGTTTTCATCTCTTTGTGACTTCGAGACCCTCGAAATTTACGATATGTTCAATAATATAGGTCAATATACATGGAATGAAGAGACGGCGAGTGATCTGCAGAAAATGGAAGCAGACTTGAAACGACAAGGGAACCTTCCCGCCATCGAATCATTCTTTGCAGAAAGATTCAGCTCCCTATCTTTGTTTGCTTTCGAATCTAATGCGACTCTCGCGGCTCAGTCGAATGCCCCATCTTGGGCGAATGAATCGTTTTATGTATCGCCAAACTCCAAAGTATTCGGATCCAATATCATCGTGACCTGTGATGAATTTGTCAACAAGAAACATAAGGATAGAGACTCTTCGAAATATGCATTTGGTTTGTTTAGCTTAGTTGACCGAGCAACAGGCAAACTTTACCAACGGGGTCTCACAGCACCCAGAGGTGATACTCTTGGAGCCAGATTCATTCTTGATGACTACAACGTCGACGTGAATTTAGATGCATCTGATGGAGTCATTGAAATGCTATGGAATTCTCAAATTCACCATCGAACTAGCGCCTCCAAGACTTACGATGTTGACCATAAGCAAATCTCTGTGGAAACCGCCGAAATTACTCGATTCGGTTGCTCTTGTCAAATTTCTCAGGCCTTGGTGAATCAACTTGATAAAGTCAAAGCCTTGCGATCCACGATGTCTGAAGAAGACTGGGATACTTATCAGGCTTCTGTTTTGACTGGCTATAAAGAACAAGCTCACAAAAAGATGAAAGCACTTGCAATCAAGTACGGGATATGGCAAAATGATTTTTAGCCTCTGGATTCTCTGAAATTTCATTGTTTTTCTCTTTGAGAAGTCATTTCAATTCTGTTTTGCCAATTAGAATTTTCGAATCCTTGTCTTTTCAATAGCGTTCACCTCTGGGGTTATGACCATATTCTCAATTCATTTCTTTGACCTAATGTGAATACACCGCTTGTTTGTCAACTACCCTCTGAACCCAATACTCTCAATGACAGTTTTGCATGAAAGAGGTGAAGATGCTTCGTCAAATCTTTCTGGTCTGAGCTGATTCTTCCAAGTCGATTTCCCTAAGTTGATTTTTTCATTTAGATTTTGTGAATCCTTGTCTTTTCAATAGTGTGCGCCTTTGGGGTTATGACCATATTCTAAATTCATTTCTTTGGCCTCATGTGAATACACCGCTTGTTTCGTATACCTTCTGAACCAAATACTCTCAATTACCAGTTTTGCATGAAAGAGGTGAAGATGCTTCGTCAAATCTTTCTGATCTGAGCTTCTCTGGTGAAACTACGTACTGGTGAAACTATGGTGAAACTACGTATTTTGCCATATACCAAGTCATCAAAATGCTATCCTGATCTAGCTGATGATATATAACAAATCCGCAATCCACTCTCCTTCATGAGGGCCAGCAGAAGCCGGAGAAGTATAACGTAGGGTTTGGATTATGTATCAATACCCCGAAATGAGTCATACAGAACTACAAGTCCAACCAAATTACGATGATCAACAACAAAGGGGGTTGTTGTCTATAGCCCGCACAAAACCAAAAACCTCCAGTCCCCTTTAGGTTTTTTCAAGTAACAAAAGGTAGGTGATGTCGCTCTAACTCGTACAACCACCATCTCAGACAACTGATAATCCTCAACCTCGCAGTTCAATCAATCCAACGATACTTCAATCTTCACCCGACTTACTGGCCTACTACTCTCAAACCATATCAATATCAATTTACGTCTCATGTCAACTCGTAAAGGGGGAAACAACGTGGCTTACGAGTGTCCTCATCTCCCTACGTGTTATGATCCCAGTAGCAAAGGGAAACCATGCCAAGATTGCAATGGTTTGAACCTGACCGGTGTTCGCAACCATACTCTCACCACCAGGCAACATGCGTTTTGTGCCCCTGGGTGCCCGGTCTACAAATGTAAGTTCTTGTAAAAATTCACTTCGCATCATCATCAAGCCTGATGGTTCGGATTGCTTGAAGTGACAGATCTGAGTCAAATTGAATTCAAGAGAAAGAAATGTTCGACACCAAGCGATTTGCCCGGTTCATCCAATGTCATTCGAAATCGAACTTCTAAGAAATGTTCCACACCAATCGATGTGCCCGGTTCATCCAATATCACTCCAATTCATAGTTCTAAAAAATGTTCCACACCCACCAACGATTTGCCCGGTTCATCAAATGTCACTCGAAGTCGTACTTCTTCAACCGAGCGGTCTCCTTCGCCCTCTGTTCGTGCAGGAAACACTTTGCGAATACGACAAAGAGAACGCACATATGAGGGAGCAGTATCTACCAACCAGGGAGGTAGGGATGAGCCAAGTTTTTGACGAAGTGGTGTTCGGAACACCTCTGCATGCAATCCTGTGCAAGATAACTTCTCTGGAATCAGCATCAATCCGGAAAAGTTTACTCTTCTACAATCTCATCATTCCTCTCCGAAAGGCTCTTCCTTCACTCGAGAAACAAATCGAAATTCCAGCAATGTGCCCAGAAATTCTAGATCGAACAACTCAATCGGTGACATGTCAACTGCCTTTGGGGGTCCGCATCATACCCAATTGGAAAGCAGCTCGGCTCCAAACCCAGGTATGGCCAACCAGCTCCACATGTTAATTGATCCTCAAAGCTCGAAAGAGGTAGAACCATTGATGTGTGACTCTCTTATCTTAGATCCTACTGCCCCGGCCACGAATATCTCTTATGAGAAAGCTTTCCGCTTTGATTGGAAGTTTCGGGCACTTTTGGTAGTATCCTTGATACATTTCTTCTGGTTCATCTGGGCATGGTTGGATGAATATGCTCATGCAGATTAAGCCTCATCTAGAGTCCTTATGAAATGTCTTGAATCTCTCGAATTCGATATGCACTCATGTTTACCCTGAAATGCTAATGCTACGTATTCTTTTATGATACATGTAGTTATGGAGGATGTCCCATCTTAGGTCTGATGATCCAAACTCTCGTCGTTTGTATTACCTCTGATCTGTTCCCTCATAAAAAGTATCATGTGATCTGCTCCTCATTTCTTGTTGTGTTTTTCAGAATTCTGATATGAGGTCTTTCAGTCAATTTCGATTTTTGTGTTCATCACCTTGAAACCCTGCACAAATTATCATACTAAAAAGTACAGCCTGGTATCTCGATGAAAACATCAAACAAGTCTTAATTAGGGAGTAACAGATATGTACTTTTTGATTTCAACATGCTGCACATGTCTGAAGATGAACCCCTAATCACGTATCACAGCCCTTTACAGGCGTACTTCCTTGTGACAGTCAACCTTGGAGCTTATAACTGTTTTCATGCTCAAATTTGTAATGTCACACTATGAAGATTATTATACTCTTCTGAAATCTCACTACGTCAATTGGTGTAATCTAAAAGCATCCCAGCCGAACACAAGCAACAACGTAGGAAATCTGAGACATCTGTCCTATATTTATTCAAAGATAACAAAGACTACCATCAGAAACTTATGCAATACCTCCAAACAAAATGACTCGGGTGCCGAAAGCTTGAGCCACGTTGTCAGACTTCCTCGACACGTAAAACACATATTGCTCCATACACTCGGTAGAAAGTCGGGAGCCCAGTCCGTCAAAAAGTCCACAAAGCGTCCAGTCGGATGTCGAGCAGCAAGCCATATTCCTATTATCGCCACGAGGTTTAGATAGGTTAATATGGAGAGAAAAAAGCGCCAGCATAGAATTCCTGATGTCATGGTTTGTACTTGAGTCAGAGGGACATTTTTCATAAGTTAAAGGTAGTCAACTCGTACCCTTCATATTCGCTGATCGCCTTTCAGATATTCTAAGTCTAGGATTCTGGTTGGTATGGGGCTCTTCGACATGTGCTGGTCTCCCTGAGACACCTCCCTTGCTTCTTCTATTCTTTTTGGTAGAGCCATCGCATCCATCGCATTTGAAGTGATGAGAAATTCCATGTTGATCGGTCATTTTTCTATGGTATCAAGCGGTATAAGAGTTCTGCTAATTTGGAGTTGTATAAAATGCCTTCCGGACTAAGTGAAGCGGAATTATCTATGTAGATTGTAGGGAACACGTATGGTCTATTCAGGTGAAGTTCCATTTGACGAGCATCTCAACAGCCTTTAATTACTCATGATTTAGATACTCAGTCCTTCCAAGAGTCGTTCAATTAGGGACTGCATGTTTTAATCAGCTCCACGTCATGAGTTTGACAGAGCTCCTTTTATTGGAACGCTATGGAAGCTGAGTGCTAAACACGAATCAGCGAATCTTCATCAATACTCAACCTGTTGATCAGAACACGCCACCGGGAGCCTAGCATGTCAGTATCTTTTTACGCATCTCTGCTATACGTCACGGGCATTTGTTTGAATTCATCGTGGGTTTTTCCAGTTGCTTCCGCTACGCCGCCTTTTTTCAGATTTGGGTTAAGCGCTCAGCTGCAAAAAGCGAGCCAAACCCGCAAACTCGATTTTCCTTCCTACGTCCAAACTCGAACCTACGTAGCGCTAAATGAGGCGTGTCTGCTGCGCTATGAGCCACTGCTCAATACGGACCACGTGGCTATGGCAGTGTTGATGTCAGTGAGTCAGCAACTGCGCTTCGATAGACTCGAACCTCTCACTTTCATGTTCCCTTTTTTCTCGAATTTCTTTCTTGGTAGAACCCTTTCACTCAATAATGGCTGTTGTCCATCACTCAGGAGACAGTGCTACGTATTCCGGAAACAGCGCCTCAGCTACGATTTGAGCAATGAGTTCGAACCTCGTAATGTCACGATGATACAATGAGCTCACTCTATATAAAGATCGTGTCATGCATTGGTGCATGTTGCTACAATCTACAACCATAGAGTAAAACCAATTGCGACCCTTCAAGCCGCCATCTCATAAGCTACCACCTTTACTCACAGTGTTCGAACCAAATAATTTACCCATCCTCAAACTTGGCCCAGAAAACGCGGTTCTCGTCTCACAGCTTTACGTTCAAGTGGCTCGATCTACACCCCCTCATAATCATTTTCATACCCTTCGAACCTTCGAACTTCCATGGATCAAAACACGCATGTCTCGGTCCTAGGACAAAAAGTCCATGATAACGAGGTAAGTCTCAAAATAATTTTCTCGACTAGGATTTTTTGACTAATCAGTCACTCTTTCAAGATGATGATGGGGATGATACTCACACAAATGGAATATATAAGGAATAAACTGAAAAAGTCCTCAGGTACCATGGTCAGTCTTACATTCTTTAAGTCAAACGATGCAACATATAAATGACTGACGAGAAAGTCTCAGATGGCGCCGAAAGAGGGAGGTGACATCATCGCTGGACAACATGATTCGTGGTACAATGATATTGAAAGCTGTAAAGAAGCAATTGAAGCCATAAAACAGGTTCGAGGCATGCATACAATCGTATATTGTCAACAATTATTCTGACCAATTTCCTTCATGTAACTTTCAACACAAGTAGAGAATTGATTATGGAGAGCAGGACTGTACCAGAATACAAACTCTCACTTCCGCAATCAAGGGCATAGAAGAAAGATTGAAAGGGGTTGATGCTAAGCTTGATCACCTGGAAGAAGAAGAAGTCAAGTCAAACCTTTTGGGCCTGGTTCAAGTGCCTGTATGCAATGAGCTTTCCACCGTAGACAACAGCACAAAATCAGTTGATTTACACATGTTCAACGAGGTTATTATACTTCATATTTCTCTCTTGCTGCTAACTTTTTATCCACCGATATTTCCCAGAACTTCCATCACTGAAATCCTTGCTTGTTTCTAATCTTACAGAAATTGGCTACTCAGGAAAAGGCGATCATCAAGCAAATATTCAAACATGTCGAAAATTTGTTGGCAGCTCAGGCAAATCTGATGGCAGGCGCAAGAGATGAAGATCAAAAGCATATGGCTGGACTTGTTCGCAAAGAAATCAACAATCTACATCAAGAACTATTAATCCAAAATGCATCACACGATGTGACTATGATGAAAAATCAGGTCGACCCACTGGCTTCGGAAATTCAAGAATTGAAAACAATCGTGCAGACACTTCGAAGTACAGTGGAAACACAGAGGAATACGATTGAACTATGCTCCCAAAAGGTTGAACTTTTGGAAGAGGCTCCGCAGTTATCACTACTCAAGGATACAGGTGATGATATGGATATTGAAAAAGTGAGGCCTACTTTCTTGTCAAATGTTTTGCCGATATCTTCCGGCCTTCTATGAGCTAGCCCCCTGACTATGTCACGTTTGATCATCTTCAAGCCGGAGGATCTTCTGGAACGCAGAGTGTCCGCTGTCGAATCATCCCTTTTCTCGGTAGAAGCCGAGGCCCAGCGTGAAGCCGTGGATGCTGAGAAGTTCGTAAGATTTCAAGAGAACATGCTAACATTGATTAAGGCAATGATAGAAGAAAGCAGCCAAATCAAAGTATGTGTATGATCTCCCCTTCACTTCTGGATGAAATGTTATTGATCCAAAGTGAAAATTCACCATCAAAAGTCGGCGGAAGGGGTGGGTGATCAAAGCATGATAACAGAGTCTGAAGAACCCAAGTTAGACCTTGAAGAAGAATTCAATAGCAGATTTTCGGCCTTGAGGAAAACAATAGATGATCATGTCGAGAAACAGATAGCCATCACAATTGAAAGAAATGCAGTACAAGAGAAAAAATCTGATGTACGTGATTCATAGCCTTCATTATGTTCCTTGCACGCTTGACCATGTCTAATGTCATGACCACGCCGACAGGTTTCCGAAGATCTGCGACTTCAAATCGTGGACCTGAAACTTCGCGATGAGGAGAATCGGAGGCAGATCTCCGATCAAGCCAAAGCTATAAACAATATCTCTGCCGGGCTGTCACATCCCGACCATGCATATTCTTACACTTCTCAGAAGCCTTCAGAGATCGAAATTCGAGAACGAGAATCGCCCCATAGTGAACCCTCGATCGATGGCCGCAATGACCGCCAAAGTGTGGATATTTTGCAAGGCGTATCGCAATCTCATTTGCAAGTCTCAGGCCTGATAGACCAACACACATCGAATTTACAAACTGCTTCGCACCTCGAGGGTACCACTACCAGTAGCTCGACAAATCCGATTGATCAACATTCGCAATCCTCCTTCCAAGGCTCGGTGCCTGTGCACAACCCGGCAAATCATCCATCATTTTCACAAACTTCCTCGAATTGTGATGGTGCCACTAGAAGTAGCTTGGCCAATCCAACTTTTCAAGATTCGCAGTCTTCGTTTCCAGCGTCAGTGACCATGCACAACTCAGAAAATTATCCATTGACTCCACGAACAAATTCACACCTCGAGGGCGAAACTAGTCACACCAGGAACAACCAACCCCGGAAAGCATCTGTCCCAAGGCGATCACAGAAGTGGAGGAAATCTAGCATAACACCACAGAAGCCCAAGGACCCGACTCTTCGGAAGGAAAGACTTTTGATGTCTTCGCAAGCAAAAGAGGCTGATGAACAAATAGTAAGTTTTTTAATGACTCCATGGCTGATGTCGAGAATATGAAACCGCCCATATGAGACTGATGTTTTGTTTGGTGCAGGCAAGTCAGGTGCAGAAGCATTTTCGACTTATGGCTGGGGTGGATCGGCGTAAAGCAGACTTTCCAAGATCGCCAACAAGAGAAGAACTCGATAAACTACCAAAACTGACTGTGGATTACGAGACGGCACCGCTTGGCGAGGCAGCCCGAAACCTCATCAGACCTGACCACCTTCAACCAACTTGGAAAGACGAAGAAATGGAACTTACCGCAAAGGGTATGGTTACATATTGCCGGCGTAGACTTCAGCAGTATGGCCTTCCTTACGTTGGCTTGAGCACTGCTCAGGGAGATGCACAAGGAGAAGACTGGAATAGGCGTGTTCTTGCATTCTGCACGGATACATTTAACAAGGCGTATGTGGGTCAAGAGTATCACATTGTGGATCATGACCCGCAACGCATCATGAAATTGATGCAAGCACATATTCAATACCGTGTGAAGCATATGAGAAAGTACAATAACCAAATAGATGCACTTCAGATGGTCCAAAAACGAGACCGTCAGCAACAAAGATGTTTACGGGTGCGTTCTGACAGATTGTCTATATAAGTTATAGTTCCAGACTGATATTTCTTACGTTCGTTTTCAGCTTGCGAACCGAAGGCGGGAGGTTTGCGAGCTTGATGATAGCTCACCATTTTCAAGATTTAGTGGCCTCTTTGAGGACGAGCGACTGTGTTCATCAGACGAATCTGACGATGATGTGTTGAATGAAGACCGAGTGAGGCATACTCCTGTATGGCGGAGCTCTCTCGCTACATCACTCGTGGAAAACATCGATCAAGCATACCAAAAGATGAGGCAAGACGAATGCCCAAGGCGACCTGGACGCAAACCGGCGAAGCGTATGCTTTCAAACCATCGACCTGAAGGTGGCAAGTCACGATGGCCGGCCGGCCTACCCAAAGATTGCTACAATGATGTGTGGCTGCGCGCCCTTGACAAGAAAGATTTGGAGAGTCTTGAAATGAAGGAATGTATCTTAGGGAATTTGTTTGTGTCCCTTTCATGATGACCATCCTGACAGCCTGAAAGGTCTGTTCATATTCCCCGGTCAAACTTGAGCTCTGATTCATCATGTGAATAGTTTACTCCATGTCTCTGCAATGAAAATTTCTCATTCTTGTTCCTCTCTGTTAGCTGTGAAAAGCAGCTCTCATAAAAGATAATTGAAGTTGCACAAACCATGGTTGTGAAGTTCGCCAAAATACCAACCAAGATCTTGGTTGCAAAAGAGTAGTATCATATTCCATATCACTTCGAAACGATGTAATTTCTCTCTATCTTATTCATCCCATCTATTTATATCATATCCAAACTGAAATTGATATAAATAGAGCCAAGATAATGCTCCATTGAAATTGAGAGGATATGTGGAGCTGGAGCTGAATGTCAAATGAACGAAGAACCTAAGGATGTTCATGTTGTGACCAAAAGCGCCTTGTGATATCCCCCCCAAACATCTGATCACACCAGAATGTCTGACTAGGCAGACTCTTTGATTTGATTGGGATACCCTGAAAGTACTTCTCAAAGAAACTATCAAGACAAATACACATCTACAAAGCGTAAGTTAAGACTAGTAAATAACAGGTAGACGCACGTAGACCCTCTGATTCTTCACTTGTAACTTCAACAGCAAGATAACGTTGTTCTTCTCACCAGAAACTAGATATCACTGGGTGTATCTATCTATAATTCATTTCGATTCAATAATTATAGTTTAATTTGGTTGTAGTTCGAATAGCTTGTGTCTACATCAACCTCCACCAAATAAGCCTGAAAGGATGAACCTTTTGATGTTTGAAACACATCCTGCAACTTCGGAAAAAAATCCGGGGCGCCCAGAAAGATTTCAACTCAGTGTCAATTTACTCGAATTCGAATCTATTCTGTAGGTCAGAGAATTCCCACTTCGACGACATCAGCAGTAGTTAAAATGAAGGCCTTCAAAAATTGATCCCCGAGGATATAAGAGTTTGAGTATGTGTGTTAACTGCACTGTTTGTACATTCTGTGTGAGGTAGTAGATAACAAATGTTTTCGATATGGTTTGTTGGTTTTCATCTTAAGTATAAAGAGGTGAATGACTTTGCGAACGGAGAATTTGTTGGACAACATCATCTTGACGCCAAGTGGAAAGCGCGGGAAACAAAACCCCGCCTGTCCAGGGCTGCAAGATATCCGCTTAAGACATGCCTTTGTTCTTCCGGTTCCCGTACTACGTACATAGTGTTTGAGTTGAGTTAGGCGTGACCTCGTGCCCGAAATCGGGAGCCAGAGCACACGCGTGCAGTATGACCCTTTGTGTTTGATGCAGAACAGCGATCATCAAGCTTCTGTTTCCTCTTGAAAAACCTTAGGGCCTCAACATGGATGTGGTGAGCGATTATCAACTTTTTGCTCCCTTTCGCATACTTTTAGCACCACGCCATGGAACGTAGCACTTCGTATCATACACGCGACTATGGGAATGCTGATGAGTTCGATTAGCTATACAGTGACTCCGAGTGTTTGAATGAAGAGAAAAGATATGACTCTCACCTCAATTGCCTATCCGACAAGCACCACGAAAGTAGAACACACCCCGACATGGACGTGGAGGGTGATCATCAGCGTTGTGCTCTTTTTCGCAGACCCTTAGCCCCACGATACGGGCGTGGTGAGCGAAGCGTATCAAGTTCAGCACACGACCACCAGGATTTTGAGGAGTCCCATCGACTTCACATACATCTCAAGTGTTTACAGGTCGAAGGGAAAGAACGTGATACTCGTGTCAATCGCTTGTTCCACGAGCTTCACGACCATAGAACATGGCTAACAGAACAGCTTCAAGATTTTGCTACAAAAAACGAAGACCTGGATGTACGCCATCGGCAAACTCAGAGACTACTGACGAGGGTGATAAAAAATTTCGATGAACTTAAAAGTGAGCTCGAGGAAAAATGTGAGCACTTGTGGGAAAAAAACATGCAACTCGCAAAGGCATCAGCAAGAGCACAAGGTCAGTATCTTACAAATATATCCCTGTGCCTATGTATGCTTATCTTTTCCCTCTCTCTTCCGCTCTCAGAGAAGCATCGGATTGAGATCAGTGCCTATCGCACATCTTTAGAGGAATCTAGAAATCTTGGAGAACAGTTACAGGAAGCAGTTCGACAGCAGTGTTGGTCTACCAAAGAGCAGCTCAATAAACTGTCACAGAAAACCAAAGGTATGCCTAGATTACATTACTTGACTAAAGCATCGAACAAGCTCACAGAATAATGGCTGCTTAGAATTCCATCAACGCCAAATTCAATCGGAAAATGCCACTGACCTGCGGCTACTGGAGTTCAAGGCGAAAGTGGAGGAGGTATTACAAGCTGCAAGAGGCAAGTCTATTCAGAATGATATCAGCTGGAGACGTAAATGACATATTTTTAATCTCATGGTATATTGGGTAGAGGCTCAGGAACAAGTTTACATCAAGTATGAAGAGGTCTTGCAAGAGCAACACAAGACTGAAATGATACTTTCAAATCTCACCATGAATGTCGAATGTCAGAATAAAAACGAAAAAGGTGATTGATTTGTCATCCGCTGATTAGTGATGGTCAGAACTGATGACAATGATCATTTTGAAGACCGTCTTTTACACAAGGAAATGAAATATGAAAAACCAACGAGATTAGCTGAAGGTGCAATGACAGATGAAAAATCAATGAGATTAGCTGAAGGTGAGATATTTGTACATAAGACTACATCATTTGTGACTTTATATTGACGGAAAATGAGCGGATTTGTCAGGAAAACATGCTTGTCCATCCCACCAATTCTGTATCTCACTGCGTATGGGTTCAATATTGGCTTTTGTGGCTCTATTAATGTACTTATTGACAACAGAAGATGATTATCGCCAACCCAATGTGCTTTGATGTATCAAATTCAACTTATACATGCGGGCGGGATACTGAGTTTAGTCACCTTGGCTTGGTTCTTTCACTTGACATCCGTCAGGCCGGATATCTTCATCTTGTGCTTTTTACCCTTCGTTTTTCAGTCAATTTTGTTATTCATTATCAACTTCATCCAAAATTCGAGACTCCTATCATCCACAAAAAGACTATCAACGTTTTTTATTTTATTTTCCCTAGAAGCTTGTTTATGTCAGGGGTTTTCTACAAATTGTTTCACTTCTTTATGCTTCGTAGTATACATGTTTCCATTCTGCGAGGTATCCTTTGGTGATAGTTGAAAAGTCCAAACCCCAAAACAATACGGAACGTGAGTGGATACGCAAGCAAGATGTAACATGCGATCAAATGAGCCGAGGTGGGAGAACTTGAATGCGCAATCAGCAAGGATGAAATCTTACAAAATATGCAGGTGAAAGCCAGTCTCACCTTCCAAAGATACTTCTGCAAGACAATAAACATGCTAATCCTTGAAGGCTTGCCTGAAAGCTCGAGCTTCCGATGACAACATTCTCAAAGTCGGCAGGAACCAAAAATGCGTCAAAAGTGCAAACAAGATGGTGAAGGTTGTCCAAGTGGCGATCAAGGATAGGGTATCGCAGAAACCTTCCATGGCTGTCAAGCCATGATGTTCCAGAAAATGATGTTGTGTTGCCGCACATAGCTGATGTTTCGCGGTAGTTGGTAGTGGCGCCAGCTGTTGTTCCCAAAACGCCCGTGCCTGTGCGCGTGAATACCGAAGTGCATGGATTATCATTTGGCAACTCTTCATGAGCACGGCGTCTAGTGAAATGATTACGCGAATAGCGCAGAGTATCAAGAGTCTGGTGAGGTTGGACTTCATCTCGGCTGCCTATTAGGAGTTGTTCAAACCAAAAGTATTTGGGGTCAAACTCCGTACATCTAAGAAGCTTGACAGTGGTAGACAAATATTTACTTGGGCACCTGGTATCGATTATATACTATACGTTGGTTTGAATGTATTTGAAGAGTCGATAGGATGCAGTGATCTGTTTTGTTTTGATGTCCACGTATGGAATCACATATATGGATTTGAGGATATATACAATCTGTTACCTCGTCTTGTTGAGCGCATTTACTTTCTGCTCAGTCGTATACTACTCGGTACCCCCATTGTATTGCCTTTGTTCACGCTTTTCAGAAATAATGTCCTCTTACAAGTCTTCATTGATGAGGATGAACTCAGGGCCTCATCAAACTGAGGTACAGCAGTCGTTCAGTTTCTTAGTACAGCAGTCGTTCAGTTTCTTACGGAACCTGCTGAAAGTTCCAAGGGTGACTAAGGGTGGCTACGCGCGAATTTTCATTAGTCATGAGGGTCGATCACTGTGTAGCCCTTTGGGCACTTGAGCGTAACGCAGTGACATCGTATTGTACATGACGCGTAGTGCTCTATATGCACAGGTTTCTTGTCGAAATACTATTGTGTATGTTGAGTTGCTACCTGCTATTCTTCTTGCCATCGAACTAAATAAGTGAGTGGGATGATTGCAGAAAACAAGATGAGGAAAATTTCCTTCTTCAACAGGGGCAGATAGAATGACGGGTAACTGATAACTAGCACTGCATACATACATCAGTGCAATAGGGTGGTATAGCTCGAAGCTCAAAGCTCGAAGCTCAAAGCTCGAACTTGAACTTGAACTTAATGTTCAAAGTTCGAATTCTCGAAGTGTCGCAAACTGTATGTACATACATGTAAATATGACTTCTGATGTCCAGACTGATGATTCGAACGTAATCATACTTCATGCGCCTGAGGAATGAGTTCGAGGTGAAAAGTTGTCCCAACCAATTCCAAAGGTTAATAGATCAGGCTCATGCTCTACGCAGAATTCACCGGTAGCTCATCTGACAAAATCTCACAAAGGCGCATAATGTGATAATTTGATTAAACATCATATCGATCTTACGCTTAAACCTGGATATGGCTGCGTGAACGATACATATTATCGGTATCATTTTCTTCTCGGTGCTAATTCTTTGTCTGTACAGCATAGACTTAAGGTGGTACATCTTCCAGAAAAATCCCTAATGGAAAGGGCAACTCCCAGCGTCACCCAGAGATACACAAGGAATAACAGGCATAGATACATACAATCAATTGGAAAGTTTTACATCATAGTATCTCCGGAAACCCATCAATAAAGAAACCTTTTCATATCTTGACATAAAAAAGGAATAAAAGAATAGGTACGAGTGTTTCAAAACTTCGTGAAGGATAGGTGAGACGGCGTCAAAACCTCGAAGAAAGCATAGGCATGACCACTTCAAACCTTCCACTACAGTATCTATCTGCACAAGATATGCACAAGGAAAAAAAGAACCGTTTCTAACCTTTACGCATCAACTCGGACAATCGGCATACTTTCTAAACCGATGAAGCCCAGGGAATTATAAACATGAGGTATTTGGTTAGCTTTATGGACATTTCGTTTTTACAAGCTGGTCTGAATTACTGACATTGAATATCTTCTGATGCTCTCAAAGACCATGAAATGGGCCGTATTTACGTAGCACTTGTGTTCTGAATACACGGATCAACTTGGCTTTGAGAATATTGCGGGGTACGCGGTGACTCGGTATGAAGTGGTGGATAAGTTCTCGAAGGGCACCCTTCGTCACTGATCGAGCTTGAAGTTTAACGTTCGGTGAGAGGATTTTGATCAATTCCGTCGGTACGCTAAAGATTTTCTTCCAAAATAGAGGGTCTTCGTGAGGCGTGGATGCACGGACTGCTCGGCGATTTGGATGGATATGAGATGGTGCAGGCATTCTACATGCTCGGATAGGAGCTGAGCGTCTACGTATAGGTCTTGAAGGTGAAGTAAGATTCCCTGTGATCGATATGTTTCCAGAAATGATCATGGCTAATAAGATGAAGATACGATAGTTAGATTGAGGATGAATGTGGCTATTTAGAGATATTCTTCAAAGCGATGACTAGGAGTGAATATGGATGAGTTACCTGTTAAAGATAACCGGTATATATTTGAGGTGAGTAAATAATTTGGATAATTTGTTTTGATAAGTGAGATCGACTGTCGTGAATGAATGAGTGCCAGCTCCTAAGTTGAGATCATAGCAGTTTATAACCCTTCGTTGTATCACCCATCTGTTTTTTGAATCTCTTTGTTTTGCGAAATTAGCAAAAGAAGACTGACCATGAGCCCTTTGTCCCATAAGATATTCGTAAGATGCTCTCTGCTTAACGCCGCATGCTAGTATTGCCATTGATAACGCACCGAGCGGGACCAAAACATGCGTAGTATGCCATTCATTCAAGCTACGTGCTGAATCCGGCCTGCTAACACCTCAGAGTAAGCCCCATTGACAACTACACCCCGCTCAGCACTCAGTCACAGAACACAGGAGTCCCGATAAGTATGGATGGAAGCTCATTACGTTCGTGTTCAGGTCAGCTTCCTTTGAATACTCAACAATCACTTCCTAGAAGCCTTGCGTCCTGGGTTTTGAATCAAACGCTTCCGACTGAGGAAGTGATCAGATTAACATTAAGATCCTCATATTCGTAAAACATGTGTAATGTTTTCATCCAATTACATGGCTGAATATTTCAACAAGTGCGATGTAGAGTAGTATAAACAAGAGAATCTGAAGGCAGCATGATGATCGTGCAGGGCAGCAAGTTGATGAACACAAAAAGTGACTGAAAGACCCCAAAGCAGAATTCAGAAACAGAAAAGGAAATGAGGAGCAGATCCCATGATACTTGTGTATGAGGGAACAGATCAGAGGTAACACAAACAACGAGAGTTCTTTAGAAAAAGCAGTTCACCCCCTGAGTCCATAGACACATTCAAAGGCTTACCATACCTACAACTCGACATCCTCCACAACTACATATATCACAATGCGATTCTTCAGCTCTAAAAAATCCTACAAGGCTTACAAGGGTTGCTCTCAAGAATATCATCAAAGAGTATGTAGCATGAGCCTTTCAGGGTAAACATGAGTGCATATCGAATCAAGAGATTCAATACATTTCATAAGGACTCTAGATCAGGCTTAATCTGCGTGAGCATATTCATCCAACCATGCCCGGATGAACCAGAAGAAATGTATCGACGATACTACCAAAAGTGCCCCAAACTTCCAATCAAAGCGGAAAGCTTTCTCATAAGAGACATTCGTGGCCGGGGTAGCAGGAGTAAGCTGTTCCAGATTGATGGTCATTCCAGAAAAGTTATCTTGGGCAGGATTGCATGTAGAGGTGCTCCGAATACAACTTCGTCGAAAACTTGGCTCGCCACTGCCTCCCTGGTTGGTAGATACTGCTCCCTCATATGTGCCTTCTCTTTGTCGAATTCGCGAAGTTGTTCCTGTGCGAAGAGAGGGTGAAGGAGACCGCTCGGTTGAAGAAGTAGGTCTTCGAATGACATTGGATAAACTGGGCAAATCGCTTGGTGTCGAACATTTCTTTCTCTTGAATTCGATTTGACTCAGATCTTTCACTGCAAGCAATCCAAACCATCAGTCTTGATGATGATGCGAAGCGAATTTTTACAAGAACTTACATTTGTAGACTGGGCACCCAGGGGCACAAAACGCATGTTGTCTGGTGGTGAGAGTATGGTTGCGAACACCGGTTAGGTTCAAACCGTTGCATTCTTGGCAAGGTTTCCCTTTGCTACTGGGATCATAACACGTAGAGAGATGGGGACACTCGTAGTCTGGTGCAAATGATGTTGAAATGATTTGATTGAAGTATTGTTGGATTGATCGAACTTCGAGGTTGAGGATGATCACTTGGTTGGATTGAATGGTCCTTTTACGAGTTAAAGCGAAATCACCCAACTTTTGTTGCTTGACAAAACCTAAAAGGGACTTGAGCTTTTGGGTTTTGTGCGGGCTATGGATAACAACCCCCTTTGTTGTGGATCAACTACATTTGCTTAGACTTGTAGTTCGGTATGATTCATTTCGGGATATTGATACATAATCCAAACCTTACCTTATCCTTCTCCAACTTCCGCTGGACCTCAAGAAGGAGAATGGATTGTAGATATGTTGTTTATCATCAGCTAGATCAGGAATGAGGTCCTTTTTTTAAAAGAAGGAATTTCGAGTCTTCGGGTAGTCCATAGTGTTTCGTGAGTTCTGCTTTCTTCGCAACACGAGCATTCGGTAAGGCAGGCATAGGCCTTTCAAGATACCTCTTGATTGAACGGAGAAGGCGGGATTTGAGAGTTGCAGGAGATTTGTGCTTATGCTTGGGCATGGCCACAACCTTTGCAAACGATTAACTGATAAGACTGATAATATTGCACAAAGTTAAAATCCTCCCTTCTAGCTTCTGAGTTCTGCGTCGCGATGATCTTAGGGTCCGAAGCAGACAAGGGAGGTTTTAGGATGAGACAACACCAAGAGTACAGATATCCAGATGAACGTATCAAGGTAGTGAAGAATCTTTCTTGAAAAAAAGAGAAACAATATTGAAATCGTGACCAAGGGATTGAGTTACGAAGTGTAAGTTATCCAAAAAAAAATTGGCGATAAAGAAGCATCAGGAATGATGTACGTGATTTTGAGCCCACGTGTCAGCCACAGCCATACATACGCCCGTGTCCGTCACATCAAACCCATCTCACATCCAACCACATATGATTCAACTATGTACTCTGTGAGATCTGTGCACATGATATGTATGTATGTGTTTGTGTATCCATCATTTGACATACAGTGATGAATTTGTATGTATTGGCGTGCAAAGGCGCTGCGAGGCGTGTTACGACGTTTTAGAAGGTGAAGCGTCACGTCACGACCGCGTTGAGCTTTACGCACTGAGTGAGCTTGTAATGTAAGTGATGAATTTGTAGGACTTTAAAGGCGCTGTGAGGCGTGTTACGATGTTTTAGAAATTGAAGCGTCACGTCACGACCGCGTTGAGCTTTACACTACAAGAAAGATAATATTTTCTGGGCAGAAAATTAAATTATTGATACACAAAAATATTGAGAGGCCAGGAGGAGAGCAAAAAATGAATGAAAATATGCATCTTGTTCCCTGCATTGAGAACTTCACTCTGCATATTTTTCCAAATTTTTACAGTCCATATTGATAAGTGTACTAACAATAAACCTTCACAATCATCCAATTACAACCTGTAACAAGCACTGAAATTTGGGTCATTAGTGTTTAGAGAAA